ATAGAGCTAAATTTCAAGTTCCAAATCTGCTTCTTCGCTGTCCAGGTTGGAAGGTTACACTGTTGTATTCTTTAACTCCAATAAAGAAAGTGGTGTCACCCTCCTGACTGTGCAGAGATGTAAAAATTACACATATGGCTGGACAGAATTAAAAGTCCTTTTTGCAGATAAGACAGATATGTATGTTGCGGGTTGTCTAGAGTTTATTTTTTACCCCGATACCGAACGGCACTCCTTTAAACCTAAAGGAAACGTACACTTTCAAAACAAATCATTAACAAATTGTATTTAGAATTTTTCGGAAACCATCAATTCAAACTATACGATATGCGGTACGGTGGCTGGAAGAGGTAAAGATAAGTCGGAGATGCCGGAGGAAAAGGGTTTGTCTGTTTTTTTATGAATATCACAACAAACTTGTTTTAAATTATTCATGGATAAAAGATACTGTTTGAAATGCTCAAATATTTATTTTGGATTGAATTCAAGCTATTTGGTATCTGAAAGAATCCCAAATATGATCTGACAATGAAATAGACTGACAGAATGGAATGATGATACTGCATGATTAATGATAAATATAGCGCCTCAGCTCCTAGAATTTTATTGTACATGACAATGGCAAAGTGCACTTATTCTTTTTGGCCATCCCACATTCTGAACTACCTCCTCCGACCTCCCCAGATGCACACTTACCTGTATCCCATGTCCCCAACCTCTGGCATTTGTTTACATTCTTCCCCAAAATCTTCTGTGCACAAACTGCCACAGAAGTCCATGGAGAGGTAATGCGTGGGGGGGAGTCCTTCACAACACCTTAGATATCCATGGGGAGCTACTGCACAGGTAGAGTGTTATACAGAACCATAGAAGTCCATGGGAAGCTCTTGCACAGGTGGAGACCTACAAAGCACCATAGAAGTCCATGGGAAGCTAATGCACAGGTGGATCCCTACACAGCACCATGGAAGTCCATGGGACGCAAGTGCACTGGTGGAGCCCTACATATCACCATAGAAGTTCATGGGGAGGTACTGCACAGGTGGAGCTCAAAAAAGCCCCATATATGTACATGAGAAGCTACTGCACAGGTTGAGCCCTACACAGCACCACATAAGTTCATTGGGAGCTACTGCACAGGTGGAGCCCTACACAGCACCATAGACGTCCATCGGGAGCTACTGCACAGGTGGAGCCCCACAGAGCACAATAGATGTCCATGGGGAGCTACTGTGCAGGTGGAGCGCTGCACAGCACCATTGAAGTCCATGGAAAGCTATTGCGCAGGTGGAGCCCAACACTGGACCGTAGAAGTCCAAGGGGAGCTACTGTGCAGATGGAGCTCTACCAGCACTATAGAAGTCCATATGAGAGCTATTGCTGGTAGAACCCTACACAGTGCCAAATAATTCCATGGGTAGCTACCGTGCAGATGGAGCGCTTAAGGTCCAGCAACTTTGCTAATAATAAGCTGTTATAATAATTGTTAAAAAATGTTCTTGATGAGAACTATGGATATTATTATGTCACAATCTTCTTACAATCTATTTTAGATTAACTATGATAGACTATGACTATCCTTTCATTAGTTTGCATGCATCAAGCATTAGGCCACTTAATTAAAAAGCTCAGGGACTCATCAGAACAGAACGGGGACGCATGACAGGGGTGAGCTGTGCGCTTTCTGTTCTTGGTTTACTCATCAGAACAGTGACTTATATCTTATCAGGCAGCTCAATGCCATACACGCACATACAGACACACACACACACACACACACACACACACACACTGCCTGAGCAAAAAAAGTCACACACTCTAATATTTAGTTGGACCGCCATTCACTTTGATTACGGTGCACATTCTCTGTGGCATCGTTTTGTTAAGCTTATGCAATTTTTCACCAAGATCTTGTAGTGATGATGGGAGAGTCGGACCTCTGGGTAAAGTCTTCTCCAGCACATCCCGAAGATTCTCAATGGGGTTAAGGTCTGGACTCTGTGGTGGCCAATCCATGTGTGACAATGATGTCTCATGCTCCCTGAACCACTCTTTCACAATGTGAGCCCGATGAATCCTGACGTTGTCATCTCGGAATATGCCCAATGTGCCATCAGGGAAGAAAAAAATCCATTGATGGAAAAACCTGGTCATTCCGTATATTCAGATAGCAGTGACCTCATTTTTTTAGGACATAACACTGCTGAACCTGGACCTAACCAACGCCAGATCATAACATTAGCCAAAATCCAGGTGGTGACTCTTCTTTTGGCCAGTCAGTGCAGTGACGTGCAGTACCTCTTGTTCCGGGTGAGGTTGTCGAAGCCCCTCCCCGTCAGACTGAGCCCCCCCCGTATGACTAAGCCCCACCTCCAACCCATCCCCAAGCTAGTAAAGGAGGAAGGGAGGAGACTGTCCTTCACTTGCTCCTCACTGCTGAGGCATTGAGATCGATGGCCTCAGTGTTTTTCTTTTTTTGATTGGACAGCTTGGACCAATGGCGCTTTGCGCCATTGGCTTTGCCATTAGTCCAAGCCATTCACAGAACTCACACCTCTAACAAAGAGTAGAGGCTGTGACAGCTCTGGCTTCAAATAGTTAGGCTACACAAGCAGTGGGGAAGCCCGCTGCTGTGTAACCTAACTACCTGTCAAAAGCTGGATGCAGCGTTGCCTGTAATTAACATCCAGCGCTCGGTCGATGATCGGTTACATAGCGGGGAGGATTTCCCTGTTGTGTAACCTGCTAGAAGCTGATCTGAATGAAGAAAAAGCTGTCAGCTTCAGACTTGAAGCTGACAGCTTTTTCCTCCACAATTCTAGGTGAGGCTCGGCTTCACCTGCCTCCCCTGACCGCATGTCTGAGTCAGTGTATATATCAATTAAACAACTTAGTCATTTAAGATATCTAAATTGCAACACAAGCTACTTGGTAGTGTGTGTGTTTGTGTGTTGGGGGATTTAAAGCGCAAAATAAATGAGCTAAACATCTTAGTAGATGCCTTTAGAAAGCGATGCTCCTTAGACTAGTGTTGACAAACCAAGCCTGAAAAATTCCCGTGCATTCCGCAATCACATAATCACCAACAGCCACATTTTTTTCTGCTGCCCGCACTAACTAATACGTTCACAGCTTTAAAAGAAAGATTCTAATGATCGCCGTCATAAACACATATTTCTGAAAGGCCCTTTTGTAGAAGGAACTGGATTTTATAAATAGGCGATATGTGGTGGTCATAGTGCGGAAGCCTTTGTGCGTCACATAAAAAAAATTAACTGCATTAAACACAGCCGGCATTATCATATTAATGACACATTTCTCATATTTGTAGAAGAGATCAAAGTCTGGGTAATTAAGAGACCATGATGAATAACATCAAACCTTGAGATGGAAGTGCTAACAAAGGCTCTGAGTTGAGTATAATTCAGAAGAAGTCAAACAAAACGGCTGAACGTATAGATTTGTGGCCCCCCGATGAAGATTGAAGTATAGGGTTGGAGGCAACAGATGGTGGTACAGTGGGGGAAGATGAATGCACGATTCTTAGAGAGGAGTATTAATAAAAAGGTATGAGTACACGAGTAGGTATGAGGGGAATCTGCATAGTTTAATGACACATGGAAGCGCGCTTTGAAGACGGTCTAATATACACACTCTGTGGAATATTTGCTCTTCTTGTCTTACCTTTATTCATATCAATGAGCTGCTTCTTTTTCTGCATCCGTTCCATCTTCTCACGTTCAGCTTTTTCCTTTGCTATCTTGGCCCTTTTCATCTTCTCTTCCATTTCTCGCCTCTTGTTGTTCTCTTTGACTGCCTCCTGCAAGACAAGGGAGGGATACCCATTAGCAACATGACCTTCTAATGATAGCTACATAAAGGCAGACTTATTTGAAGGAACGGAGTCTACTGACAAGTGTGTTTGTATAAATAAGTTGTGAAGGGTAAACGGGCTCAACTGGTATTGGCAGCGGTAAACCATGCACTGGACAGGTACAACCAGGAATAGTCTGTGCAAGTTTGTCCGGCACTTTTATTCAGAAAGGCAGCAAACAAACACAGGTTCAGTGCTGGCAGGCTTTGTAAAGGAGGCCAAAGCATACAATAAACAAACATTTGATCGGATGAGCCACTAAATTCAGATCCGTTTCTGACTAACAGGGTTTCTTCTAATGGTTTTCACACAACAAACATGCAACACATGTATCTTTTAGTATTCTGTCAGCACTCAGCA